AGATCAAACTAGATTTCTGGAAAAAATATATATATATTGGATCGTGGTCCACATTAAGAACTCATTTCAGGGGCTTCAAAAAAATATAATCTGTGTGTGCATCAGTGCACTGACTTTACGGTGAATATATCTTTTTTTTCTAGGGCATGCCTGTTGCTGAGTTACAGCACCATATTTGGCATACTTGGGGTAGTCAATGCAGTTTTTTTTTTTTTGTCCTTTCCAGAATGAATAATTCTGGAGAGTGCATACTGTTGAATCTGAAGTTTTTGTTAATAATACATTAAAAATAGTTTTTACAGAATATTTGATATTTATATTCACAAGACAGCTTCACAATTGTCAAGTCTGACTTTGGTGTGACACCGTTGTCCAAGTTTTGATTTGATATGGCCAACAGCTAAAGAATACACAAAACCACTGACTTTTTACCTGTCTATCCATTAGTTTATACTGTGACAGCCTCACTACTCTAATGATTGAAAAGCAGCTGATGACATAGCAACTATTGACTGCAGAGGCATCCAATAGATGGAGCTCTTGTGCATTGAAACAATCTGCCTTTTTTCTAAAGTACCTTATTTCTAGATTCATAAGCTTTGATTGGATCCTAAACAAACCACAGTCAAAAAGGCCAACTTAAACTATTTCTTTGGAATAGAATAAAATTACAGCCCTGTGGCCATGAGGTTGTATAGCACAAAGAGCCCCTGCTAATGTTTTAGCAATGAAGTGGCATTATTCATATAGTCAAAAATAACCTGAAGGTCAGTAGCATTTAATTGTGGTAATTGTGTGGCATCACACAAAAGCAAGCCTTCTGTTTAGCGTGAAATTGGCTCTGACAAACTATGATGCCATCTACTCCTTGAGTGGTTTCCATTCACCAGATGTGTCTGCATGCTTTTTATTCACATTCGGTATTTAGCCATGGCGTGGAGTCTGAGCTTTTATTCCCTCTGTGAGACTGTAAATAACCCCAACATCCTCAGGGGTTCACAGCAATAAACACTGCTGTTAGGGGACCAAAGTGCCTGCAATAGGCTGAGCCTAAACATGAACTCTTCTATTCTTCAAAACTAATATCCTCCATATCTCTCTTGACCTAGCTAGAAAAAATCATGACAGACATGCCCGCTCAGAACCAGTGCTAATTTGTGAAGGAGAGAAGGATTTATTGATCAGAGTTCCTATCCTTTACATTTGTATACTTTTTCAGAACCATATTGTGAGAGCTCTCCAATGGCTGGATGGCTGATAGAGAAAGATTTGGATGCATTGACAACTTGTGCATACTTAGAGATATGAAAAACAGATGGATGGATGCTAAATAAAAATGTACATTTGGGTACAGGTAGTCACTCTGCTGTTTGGTGACATGGTGTATACCACACTGAACATGGAACAGAGGAAGCAAAGGAAAGAGTTTGAGATTAGAAAGAAAATTATAGACAATCATGTTAAAAGGTAAAAGCCATAAGACAATCTCTTAACCGCTTGATGTTCCGGTAAATACAGCTGCACATATTATTCAGAAATTTAAGATCCACAGGGCTTTAGCCAGCCTCCTTGGAAATGGTCGCATGAGAAAATTCGATGACAAATTATAGCATTGTTACAACAATCTGTAACAAAAGACCCCAAAATATTTTGCAAAGGTAAGCTTCAAGCTTAAAGGATATTAGTAATGTCAGATCGTATCTGTCGTTTGAGTCAAAATGAACTTAATGGGAGATTACCAAAGAATCAGAATCAGAATCAGAATCAAGTTTATTGCCAAGTAGGTTTGCACTTACAAGGAATTTGACTTG